GTTCAGTAGATTCAACAGTTTATTTCTTAGAGAGTGTGTACTTTTACTTCTACTTTCCCAATTTTTGTGAACAGTTTTATGACTTTTACTTAAGTAGTTTTCTCATCAGTGACATTTATTTTTTTACCAAAGTCATTTTTTGTTAAGGTATTTTTACTTTTACTTAGTTTTTTTTTCAAGTACTTTTATAGACGTCTGGTTATAACATAGTTTTAACTCAGCATGAGTTATAACTCACTAAACTCACATGATAGGTTAATTTCAGTTTAAAGATCTTGCGGGTGATATGCATTCCTTCAATGTATGTCAGTCGTTTAGATGACTGCTAATGGCATATTTTCTTATAGGTTTTCCCCATAATTGATACAAAAAATAAAAACGCTTAACATAAATGATCATAAATGATCAAAAACGATATTGTGGTTGTTAAAACTGTGTTTTTGCCTATATCTAATGTGGTTATTACCAAATTATATAAACTGTTAATAAATAGGGTTATAAAACTTTGTTATTGTGGGTCCGAATCCAAAAAAAAGTTGGGAACTTGTTCCCTGTCGCCTGAAGAATATTTGATTTATGTGTCCCTGAACCATGTATATTATTCATATTAAAAAGTTTATTTCAATACAATGGATCGGCTGAAAGTGTATGAACAGATAAATTAAAATTTCAGTGAAGGTTAGTTTTTCAGTTTTTATCCTTAGACAGTTATAATAAATCAGTAAAAGAAAAATCAGGCGAACAAAACTGGAAGTTTAATTCAAAACATGTTTACGTTGGAGCCCTTCCTACAGTACACTTGTCATGCGATTCCAGAAGTGTCCTCCAAGACCGAGTCCCCGCCCAGAGCCGGTAATCCCTGGTGACTAAAACAAGCTCCTCTTCAAATAAATTCCTTCAAGTGCGCATGCGCATGCACAAACAATAACGAGCTCTTTAAGCTCAGAAAGCTTGTTCGCAAACGACGTTTATTTTAATCACACGCCATCAAATTATCAATACTTACTTTAACTAGATCACTATTATTATCCGGCATGACGATAGTTACTCCAAAATCTTATTTATGACAAGAGTTTTATTATAATTGTTGTGTCTTCGCAGAGTGGTTAGCTTAGCTTAGCTACATGTTCGGTGTTGCGTCGAAAAGTGTTCCCCCGTCAAAATCTGCTTTTCCACCAATGTTGAGCAAGCCATGATTTGAGCCGCTAAATCATATTTATAAGAAACACTAAGCCATGATTTCAACATAGTACATCAGAATTATGACTTAGAGCACTGGTTCCCAAACTTTTTATCTTCTGACCCACAAAATATCCATGGCAGAGACCTGTGCCCCCAACTATTTTTGGATGATAAACATTTGTATCAGGTCAACAAAACATGAGCATAGTAACAATATTTTTATACTACATTTATCCATTTTAAATATACTAACCTCACTCCTTTGTAACAACTAAGACAAAAAATGTAATTAATTCAGAAAATATTTTCAGGACCCCACCTTGATGTTTTGGGACCCCATTTTGGGTCCTGACCCCAACTTTGGGAAACACTGAAGAGGATCAAAATGTTGGAATGGGGTAATAAGCAGCCAAAGCAGTTTTTAACATAAAAACAAAATAAATAAATTAATGTAAATAAAGTGGCTTTCATATTTCATMTTATTATAAACAGATAAAATTGGATAAAATAGTAAATGTTTGTACCTAGTATTGGATTTCAGACTCAGGTCCAATAAGATAGCAAACAACCAGATGTATATCTACAATCATCAAATAAATAAATAAAGACTAAAATGACTAAAATTTAATAACAGACATATGCAGCAGTGTTTCCACAGCTGTTCATAAATGTGCTCTTATTATTGCAGAGATTCAACCAGAACCGTCAGGCAAGTGTTGCATTCTCCAGATGCCATGCCTTCAGTCTGAAGTCACGTTATAGTTTTAGTAATTATCAAAACCTTTTGACACTGGAGCTCATAACCAGCAAGAATAACTTTTAATTTCTTTCATTTAAAACATCAAGTGCGATAGATCTTCTCAACATTTGGTGAAACAAATAATGATAACGTCCCCAGACGTTGTTCTTTATCAGTTCTTTGCAGCGCTCGGCCTCCAGATGTCAGCATAAACACACTAAAAGGGTTTTAAAAATCTGTTTATTATTCTGCAAAGATAATTTTATTAATTTTCTGTTGTATGGAGAAACTCATCGGGTCACGTCAAATAAAAAAGAAACATTTGTACCTCATAGTTCAGTGCATTTATTAGACAATAATAATGAAATATAATAAATGATGCTCTACGTAGAGGTTTTGACACAAATTTACTGTAAAACTGCAACAATGACAAACTTATCTGATGTTTATTTAACTTAAATCTATCTGCTGCAGGTAAGATGGTAACTGTTCATCACTTTATCATAGAATGTCACTTCAAACCAGCTAATTTATCCCTTTGCAGTCCAGGATTAGGTGGTATATATCATACAGTGAGTAACATTTGATTTGATACGTAACTTTTTATCTACGTTTAGTCACATCTATTCATCTTAAGGCCCTGTCACACTAGACAACTTATGCCAACTTATGAACATTGCGTACATAATGTAATTTAAACAAATTGATCAAATATTTTACTTTTATTGGCAATTTAGACATAAAAATATGTCATAAATTGGCATAAGTTGTCTAGTATAACAGGGCCTTCACAGCAGTTTAATCAGGATTTCACAACATTTTAATCTAGAGTAGCTTTAGAGCAGCTGGACTCCTAATAAGCAGATTATTTTGTAAATATTACAGCATTTACATGTTTCCATGATAACTTTAGTTTCATCTAGGTGAAACCTTATGATCCTTGAAGTTTTTCCAAGTCAATAAACAAGTGTTTCCCAGAGGTGGATCACATGTTGGAATCAAATGTAGACTAGTTCTGGTCCACCAGTCCTCTGGAAGACCGTCCAGCCTTTGTTCTGTCAACGTGATCCAGAACTCGACCGTCGGAGGAGGATGATGATTTACCGCTCTGAAAGGGGAGGGAATGAAAATAAATCAAAATGCAGTTTGTTGTTGAAATGGTATATTTTATCAGAAAGGTGGCTTCTGGTGGCTCTACTACGTTTTGTATGTTTTTATATACTTTTTCAAGTATTTTAATCATTTTATACCCATAAWAAATAGTCCCTTTGCTGATTCCTCTATGTGTCTCTTTACTTACATCATTAGTCATCCTCTTAGAGTTTTCTTCTAGTTTTTCCATAATCAGCTTGATCTTGGATGTGATTCCCGCTACAGACTTCTCCATTTGGAGAACCTGCCTGGTCAGTCTAAAATTAAATATTTAAAATAAATAAACGTAAATATTCCATTACAATCGACACATTTTATATATATATATATAAAAAAAAACTTTACTCACTGCAGAAACTGCTCTCGATCCACGAAGGTTCGGCTCGAGGTGTCGTTTGTTGCGACGGCGGATTTATCCAGTAAATTTTCCTCGTAATTTTTACCAAGATTGTTCAGCTCAGCATTAAGAGCATCCTGAAGGAAGGAAACAGGAAAGCTGCTGTTAAAGTAAACATATGATGCTTTTAAACGCTTCCTTTTCACATTTAAATCCCTCAGTTGGGTCTTTATAAAGTGAAACGACAAAGATTTGGTCTGAATTCCTCCTTATTCTAACTTTACCAGCTCCTCTTTCACCCCTTGTGTGGTGTGTCTCAAAGCAGCTCGTTTTGTTACTGTTCCTTTAAGATGCTTCAAACCCCGCCCCCCTCCTGCTTCCAGACCGGTCCACTCCGGTTTGAGAGAGGGGGTTACGTTTTCTGGCTTGCAGAAATGTTTTATTTACAATTTAATTAAAAGATGTCAACATTGGAAGACTTGTCCATCCAGCCTTACCTGTTGGAGCCAGAGTCTGAGCCAGAAACAAAGTCTGAGCCAGAACCAGAGTCTGACCCAGAACCAGAGTCTGAGCCAACCAGAGGAGAATTAAAATGAGGAAATTGAAGTTGGTAAGTCCAAACCTTATTTGGCAATTCTGTTGCAGATAATTTGACGTAATTTAGCTTGTTTGTCGCGCTAGCACCGAGCTAATACATATAAGGCAATATAGTGTTGGCGCTAACGCTAAAGCTAACAGGCTAAGCTGAGGTTGTTCTTCCATGAAGCAGCTCTGTTGTCCATCTACGTATATTTTCAGTTGTGAATCGTTTCTACCTTCTCTCTGTCAACGCTCTCTGGTTTCATTTAAGTCGTCAGATATTGTCCAAGATTAACCTTCAGGGTGGATATATCTCGCTCACACCGATGACCTATCCACGACATCATTTACCCAGAATGCTTTGCAATGCAAATAAAATGGCTTCATCCGTGTTAAAATATATTTTTAAATTTTTACAAAACTAAACAGCGTAAAGTATTTTACAGTCTTTATTTTACAGTTAAAATATATGTTTATCAAATAAAGTCTAATGTTACCACTGGGGATCCCTTTAATAAAGGCTCTGAACAGTCATGGTTGTCAAAAAGAGAACTTTTACACCCCTCTGATGTCAGGTATGGTCTGTTTTTAATAGAAGCTACATCTCAGTGAAGTTGTGTTCAGCTGTGAATGAAACCACAATGAAACTCACAGTTTGGGTCAGAAAAACAAGCCTGCACACAGGAAACCCATACAGGTTGATGTTTTTTTTAAATCAACTAAATGTATTGACAAGGTTGATTATTTTAAAATCAGTGATTGGTTTCTCAAAACAATTTATTCATGTTCAGCAAGTAAAAAAGCTGCAGTGCAAGAAAAACTGTCATTACCTCCTGTGGGTTTGAGGTTACAAATTTTCCTGTTTGTGTG